GGAGGTTATATCTAAGTATGTCTTAATTAGTGAGTAGGAGGTAATAATGGACCGGGGCCAGGAAGGGCAGAACAATGTATTTCAAGTAGTTGAGAAGGATGAACATGGACACAGAGGAACATACTCAAAGAATCTGCAATAATAACATGCTGGAATACAAGGAACAGGAGAGGAGTAGTTCCTTTCGATAGACTACACCAGGCTTTTTATACCAGGCTAATGAACCTAGATTGTATTCTGTAGGCTATAGGGAGTCTTTCATTTCTTCATCAAATATTTCCTGAGTGCCAGTTCACTGTTTAACACTGTGTTTGGTGCTTAGGATACTAGGCTGAGTAAAATTGATCATGGTTCTATTCTTTGTGGAGTTTATATTCTAGTGAAATGAGATCATTTAAACTGGAGGAATGTTGAAAGTCTTAAGATCAGCAATCAATAGGAGAGAAAAAAACAGACTTATCTGTGAACTACTTGGAGGTAAAAATAAACAAGACTTGACAACTGAGTAGAGAAAAAGGATAGAACAAAGTGAAAGAGAACGAGCATGAAGTCTTCAATGGCTTCAGGTTTAGAGTGACCAAATGGTGGGGCTGGAGCGATAGCACAGCGGGTAGGACGGTTGCCTTGAATGGGGCTGACCCGGGTTTGATTTCCAGCATCCCATATGGTCCCCCGAGAACTGCCAGGGGGGTAATTCCTGAGTTCGTGAGCCAGGAGTAATGCCTGTGCATCGCTGGGTGTAACCCAAAAGGGAAAAAAAATAGAGTGACCAAATGGGATTGTACCTATTATGAATTGAACAAGAAGAATGACAAAAAACTTTGGTGATAGGTGAGGGATTTGGGTTTGAACTTACTCTGTAAGTTCAAGATCTCTACAAGAACATGGCTCAAAAAATAGTTGAACAAACAAATCTATAGCCCCAAGAAGAAATCCGGTGGCACAGATTTTCTGATCATTAAATCTTGGTAATGGAAATCATTATATAAGGAAAATATGGAAAGTGATAAGAGCACCTAACGTACTTCAGACAGAAACAGTTTCATGAGGGAAAGAAGGAAAAAAAAAGTCACCATTGGATAGCATGGATAGTGTTATTGGGAGGACAGTATGGTTTTGAAAGTTGCAGCTTGTCAACTGGGCTCTGGGTAGGTCAGCAACAATTCACTTTAGTACAGTAAGTGTTAGATGAGTACAAGGATGTGCCAAACCTTGTGTTGAGCCAGGAAGAACAAGATTAGGAAGATTCAAATAAATTTCTTCCCCTCGTGGCATCTGTAGTCAAGGAGGTCATCACTTCTGTTTCACTACCAGATGCCAGAGCAGGTGCCTTTAGGGGAAAAATACCATTCCATATGTTTTAGCTTGTCATAGAAAAAAAGAAACACTTTTTGAGGCTTTCTTAATAAATGAGAGAAAGAAATGGAAGTATTTATTTCTTTCTCTGGAAGAGAAGAGATAGGGTGAAAATTGTAGCTTGCTTCAAATGTTACAAGGACTGTGTTTTGCAGTCTCAGAATTAGACAAACAATGAAAATTCTAAATCAGTTGCATTGGCTCATATACTATGTTATATACTAATATATTGCCTGAAAAGAACTTTTTGAAGAAAAATTGACTGCACCCATTTATGAAAAATGAAATAATGATCTTGAGAGCAATTCACTTTCAATATTGAGTTAGATTATATACCCAATGATCTTTAAGGTCTTTCTGCCCTGGTGTTTTGTTTGGACATGTGAACATTCCCTAGGTAGTTGTCAAATCTTTAAAGAATTGCATATTCCTCTGAGAATAAGATGAAAAGGTATGGGCACTATCCCCAGGGGTGAAATTTCAAATGTCTACGTAAACACAATCATTGTTTAAACAAGACTTGAGCCCCACTGAAGTATCCCCTAGGAGGTTCATGGACTTTAGATCAGGACCTCTTATTTTAATAGAGTGTCAAGAAACAACAACATAGACATAGCTTACTCTGAAATCATATACATTGAGAAAAAAAACCTCTTTGGGACTTAATTTAGAATCATGACTAAGGGTTGCTGTACATCTAATGCAGTGCTTCATTGATTTTATTCTGTCAGCCTTACTTTACAAGTGGCCCCAAGCAACTCACAACTTCACAGATATATGTACATAATAGTATGCACATATTTTATTAAAAATAATAATGATGTTGTTTGGTATAACCACTTGCAGTCACAGCAATCTGTTACTGTAACAGATTCTCTGATAGATTTGGGGGGAGATCTTTTTGATTAGGACTGTCAGTACTTATTTATACTGGAAGAGTTCATAAGCTATTTCTGATACTTAGACCTTAATCATGCTTAATGAACTGAACTAAACATAATTCTTGTTCTGTTTTGCTAACCTTGTGGATTTCTCCTAATGTTCAGTTTCATATGACTACACCATTCTTGAAATGCTAATACCCAAAATGCTAATTCAAGTGAGGACCACAAAAGTTAGATTTCATTTCAGAGAAGTACGTTCAGTATTCACAGACCTTTCCAGAGGAGCAAGGATGTGAGAAGAATGATATTAGGTGGAAAATATTGGCTCCTCCATTGGTGAACACACAAATTTAAACATATAGGTTGCACGAAATTTGGATAAACTGAGGTGGAATCCAACATTTCTTGCATGAATGCTTGTATAATGTGGCGATAGCTGTGAGAAAAGAGGAGCCCAGTATCTAAGACCCAACACAATGAAAATGCAATGAATTGGAATGCCTCACAGATCATAGCGGAATCAGAATTTCCAGCAAGGAAAATCTTTTCATGGTGAATTAAGTGGTGGATGAAGAAAAATGGTGATGAAAAAAGGTAGGCACAGATCACAAACACTGGGCTCAGGGCTCACTGCTGAAGATTTAAGAACCTTAGCTAAAGCTATGCAGAATAGAATGTGGAAAATTGAATTTACTAAACAATTAAGCATTGAATTAATCTACATCCTGCACAGTAGAAAAGTGGGGGAGGGAGCAGAGCAGAGCTGAATAAATCAGTGGAGCTCATTAAAAGATAGTGAATATATCAGGTCTGATGTAGCATAAAGGAGGACAGTTTCCTGTATAACATGGAATAATTCTTTGGTTCTAAGTCACCTTTCTGGAGTCCTAGTCTTAATCAGATTAACAAACATGCTTCTGATGAGGTTAGTCTGTTGCTCTGTAGTTTAGCTTGTTATCATAGCTTTTCTATTAATTACAAGTCAGATCACCAGTCAACAATAGTAGTGAGGGACAACATAAATAAATGAGAGTGCCCAGGAGATGTCATTCTCAGGATCTCATGCATCCTGAAACTCCCACGGGTTCCTGCAGCCTCCCACATGCCTTGCTGGTCTTTTGTTCAATTACAGTTAATGCAATAGTTTGCCATTTTCTCCTTCTAATTATATTTTCAAGTGGGATTTGTAGCACATAGAAAAACATCCTTTTACATGTCGAGGCACCGGGGTTTTGTGCCTGGCATTGTCTGTCCCCTGGGTGCTGTACCATTCTTTCTGCAGTGCTCTGAATAAACAAGTCCCCCTTTTAGAGCTGCAGTTGTACAACTGAAAATTTATGCATTAACTGTTTGCATTCTGAGCATGTGTTCCAGATTACGTCTTACAGCATTCTTCTGGTATGCTGCAGAATGCATGTTTGTCAAAAGCACTTCTTTCACAGTTCACATATCTTTCAATCACAGAATCAGCAGATCAATTAGCACTGTTTTTTGAGAATATGCATAATGGTTGAGTCAAACCTACAAGTGGTGTCTCTTTCTGTGACTTTAATTTTTCAGGCTGTGTTAATCTGTAGCCAAGATTATAGACTAAGTGGAAGGCAACACAAGGAATCATTTCCTTTGATTTTTGAATAGCAAGCCTCTTAGATGGGATCTTTACTCCTCTGGGGTGTTTGAAACTGTTTTCACCTCAACCCTTTCTTATCGTCTCTGGGATATGAGAATGCTTTTCAAGAAATGGGCAAAGGAAACTTCGATTTTGTGAGCCATATTAAAAATGTTGGGTCAGTAACACCACACAGTTGTGAACCATGACATGCTGGACTTGAATGATTATATTCATGTTTTATATACAAGATCTTCCTGCTTTCTCACTAATAATCCTGGAGACTAATATCACTTCGTAGCCAAACACCAGATTTCTATTTTGCCTTATTCCTACTGTGCAGGCTGACGGGTGACTCATAAGACTGTTTTTGAAAGCTAACCCTAAAAAAAGCTAATTAAAATCTTTTCTGGTGATAAAGAGAGATTTGGGATAAGTGTTGCCATGATTGTTTTCTTCAAGAATTTAATTTACAGCCAATTTTTCCTATCTGAATGCTACTTTCAAATGCACCCTGTGATAAGAAGCAACATCTGTTTTCTGTTCAATAGTACAAGAAGGCTCCGCATGGGGCTGAGTGTACACAGTCCATGTGAATTCCATTGTTATTTCCATTTCTTTTTTGTCCCTGAGTTTGGTCCATTTGCCATGTACCATCCGGAAAACAGCTGACACATACTGGCTATTATGGACCCTGGCCTAATTTGTGAGGTCTTAAAAGCTCTGCCATGTTTGTTTTCTAGGCTGAAACAGAGGCTGCTGTAGACTGCAGTGTGGTAGAAACCAACACCCTCATTCTGCGTGTGCAGAGTAGCAGACTGTTGTGCCAGAGGGTTTGTTGATGTTAAAAAGATACTCACAATCAAGTGGCAGCGTTTCCCCCCTTTGCCTAGAATGTTTTTGTTTTCCTTGGTAATAAAGCATGCAATTACCTACAGAGCAAGTATTCGCTGATATTATTTTTGCTTACAAGCCATAACTGGTAAATTTCCAAGTGTTTGAGTCTTCTTTGAGATGAAATAATTTGTGAAGGGGCCTGTAAAGGGATGACAAGGTTGTTCCAAATTTCATCAGCTCTGTCACGACACTGGCATCCTACCTGCCATGTTAACAGACCACCCTATTTGGATTTCTCATTTGTGCCTCCACAGCCCTCTTGGAACCGAGATCACGATGACACGGCATCGACCCGTTCGGGGGGAACCCCAGGCCCTTCCAGTGGCGGCCACACATCACACAGCGGGGATAACAGCAGTGAACAAGGTAGGAGATGTTTTCTCATTCTCAGTTTTGCTACTTGATTCGTTGTTAAGAGTTAAAAAATCAGGACTGTCTTGTTAGTTGTTACGTATACAGGTTTTCCTAGAATGCAAGCTTCTATAATTTGAGAATCAATTTGTCTTATTTTATTCCCCTAACCCTTTTCTTTTAAGCTATATCACTGCCTAACTTTCCATCACCTGGCCACCTATATAAATGACTGAGAACAAGATTAGAGAAGGCGATTAGAAGCTTGAGTATGCACAAATAGTATGCCAAGAATACTTGGCTCTACAAATAAAAATATTATTATTATTATTATTATTATTATTATTATTATTATTACTTTACAGGGGAGCCCAAACAAGTAGCCATTAAGATTTCAAGTTTACTGTCTTTAACTTCTTGGAAGGGGGATAAGAGATATAGCTCAGTAGTATAGCACTTGCCTTTAATGTATAAGGCTTGGGTTCAAGCCCTGTTAATAACAACAAAAACAATAACAGAAGCAAACTGCTTAAAAGGCATTTCAGAAACTCAGGTTGGGTTTTCTTCATTGGGTTGAAGTCAAATTTCTGGACTTAGCAATTCGATTTTCTTAAGTACTTGAACTTCGTTGCAGAGTCAAACTACAGGGAATCAGAAAGACATGGAAAGGTATTAGATCAATTTAATTTGTGTATTACCTTGAAAGCACATACCTCTGTGTATGTGAGTATCCATGAATATGCATGTCTGATTATAGCTAGTAGGAAGTAAAGTTGTAAAGTAAATTTGGGCATGTGGTAAATGTGTGTTCAGATGTCTTGAACTGTTTTTGATGAGATGAAACCTCCTGCAGTAGTTTTTGTGTTCAATTAATGTGATCAAAGTTTGAAAGAACATTATCTCTAAGACTATGAAATGATGGCTTTCTTGAGATTGACTTGAATGAGTCCATCTTAGGTACATACTCTGAAATCTGGTTTTATGACTGTTTCATTGGCATGCTGTTAGATAACAAAAGAAATTTGTTTTCTACCTTAAGTGGGTTATTCAATTATAATTGCATAGTCTGCATTGAACTTCACAAGAGTAATCTAAAAACAAACATAGGAAAGTTAAATTTTTGTTTAGGCCACATGTATTCTATTTGGATGGGGTTCATGTCTACATGTAGAATTTTAAGTGTCAGAGACATTTTATTGTTCAAAGAAAAATTGCTGACTGCATCACCATTCTAAATCCTATAACAATGGAGTCTGGAAGCTAAACTGGTTTTGAGCTAAGGCAGAAACAGGTAACCCTTAACCTCTGACTTTTAGTGGGAAATGATATGTTGTATAAAATTCAAGGGGCTTTTTTTCTTTCAAGTATGTATACATGTTCTGGTATTGCTGCTTACGGTGTTACAGTTAAGGGGGTGTCAGTACTTTCCATGCAAAGCCCTACTTTCAGAATTCAACTACACTACGTGTTTTCAAAAAGTTGTGAATGGAATCTAAATTCCCTTAGCTGTAGTCCACAATTGCTACTGAAAATCACATCTGGCCTAGTACTTTATTTGTTTATTTCCTTCCTTTCTTGCTTTTTGAGCAGATACATCATCTTTTGAATAGGCAGGTAGTTTAGCAGCATCTTTGAAGGCTTACAAACTGCTGAAATGCACTTGAATATAGAATTGTAGTGTGTAAATTTTCTCAGACATAATATGATAAAAAGGATTTTCAGAGTGCAAATATCCCATCCCAGTTTTTCCCCTCAGATATGTCATAACACGGAATTAAGAATTTTGCATGCTTCTTTTTCCTTCAACAACTTTTCTCTAATGGCCGATTTAGGAATGAACTTAATTGTAACCAGGAGCACTATATCCCTCATATTACTAGACTTTTCCACTTGCATTCTTTCTCTTTCTATTTTTTTCCATAAAAATCAACATCCAGTGTTTTCCTTTAAAAAAGCGTACATATCTCATTTGAATTTGAATGATCTTAGTTAAATCTTTTCTTAAACAATCCTGGATGGTGTGTGTGTGCGCGTGCGTGCGTGTGTGTGTGTGTGTGTGTGTGTGTGTGTCTGTGTGTGTCTGTGTTTAGGGTGAGGGGATACAGATAAAGTAGGACTAGCCCCCTTTGGAAAACTAGAAAAATAAGTTATGAAAAAGTTGAGCCACTGGTTGAGGCACTAGTGAAGCATCTAGTGAAGGCACTGGTTGAGCCACTAGTGAAGCATCAGACTTAAAAAGTTAGTTTTCCCTATTATTTGTGTAATACTCTTCTCATAGTACCCTCTTTCTCAGCCCATTACCAAAGATCTAAGGTTAATTGCTTCCAGTGAGATCAAATAGAAGCTTTCTGGATTGGTTCCTTCCCTTGCACCAGCTTGATATCACAGGTGGTAAGAATCACACCCCAAATCTTATCTGTCCTGCTCAGTGGTTTCCCTCTGGCATTGTATGAGTCCTGGCTAAATGGAAAAGGAGGTCAAGAAATGTTGCTGCAACAACTTAAGCACAGTTCCATGCCAGCCATGACCTCTCTAAAGCCTTTTCTTTCCATGCCCGAGACCTGTAGAGCCAGGTCTTTGTGAGTCCTGCAGATTAGCTATGTACACTGGCTTTTCCATGTTTCCCTGTCTGCCTTTTTCTGGCAGCAGGCATGTGTAAGCTGTGCCAGCATTTGGCCCGTAGTGCATGTCCTAAATAGTTATTTACACAGTTTGAGTCCATTTTAGTCAACTGGGTAAATAACAGCCCTCTTCAAAAGATTTATAAATCCATAAATATGTCTTTATACATACCCAATAGACAGAAATAACTCAATCTGTCAAGAACATATCCAAAGAGGTGTTTCCCCCACAGACAGGAGTAATACATATTTTAAAACTTTCTCTACTGTATTATTTGAAGTGCATTTCTTTCTTCCTCATTCCTTTTCAATTTTCGCCACTTCATTATGGCACCTGTGATACAAAAAAAAGAAGAAAAGGAAGTCCCCTAGGCTTTGTCCTCTGTTAAATGACCTGTCTGCTGTGTGATGTAGGCAGATAATAGGCTCCATCTCATCTGAGACCTGTTCTTTTAGACTTTAAGAGTAAATAAAATAAGTCAACCAGGAAATTCGCAGTATCATGTGATTTTAAAATAAAGTAACAGCTCCATGAGTCCTTGGAATTTGGGCTTTTGGGGGAGGGTCTGACAACTTGCCAAATCATTGGTATTTGTTGCAATGGATGGAATGATTTTTGTTCAAAAATGTTAACCCAAGCAATAAGAAAAATGCAAAATTCAAATCTTGGCATTCTATAGTGAACATAACTAAGGTGTGTAATTAAGAAAATAACCAAAGATACTATTATTCATCAGAAAATTAATGTTTATTCACCCTCACCTCAAATTATTTGTCATGACAACTGTTCTTATGACATCTGTTCTTATTTCATATAAGTGCTTGAGACCCCTTGCTAGAAACTGATTTTTTAAAATTTTGTTTTGTTTTTTGCTTTTTGGGTCACACCTGGCAATGCACAGGGGTTACTCCTGACTCTGCACTCAGGAGTTACTCCTGGCGATGCTCAGGGGACCATATGGGATGCTGGGAATCGAACCCGGGTTGACCGCATGTAAGGCAAACGCCCTACCCGCTGTGCTATCTTCCAGCCCCAGAAACTGATTCTTTAATAGTGAAGCTCTTTTAAATTGGCATTTGAAAGGAAGGCCTAACATCAGTATGTGGTAAGGGGCCCATTACTATTGCTGCAGTCCTGAATTTTCCAAAGATACCGGATTGAATCCTTATTTTATCCCAGCAATCCACTTTCTTCCCCTTTCGGATGATTAAAAACTAACACTCAGGAGTATGAAGAGTAAGTAGCTGTCAGAGAAAGCTCTCAGAACTTGTGTCTGGCCTTTGTTGCTGCTTTCGGACAGTGTTTCCAGGGCCTCAAGCAGAGGCTCCAAAGATAAGCTCAACATATATACAGATACTCAACTCTTTCATGTATCTTTATTCTCCCCAGGGCACTGTCCTGTTGGCCATCCTCAGGGTCTTTTCTAGGAAGTGTGTGGATTGTAGAGGAAAAACACTAAGCAAGTCTTGTGCCTTTTCCCACCAGATTTATCCTCCTTTTCAGAAGGACTATTGCAGCTGCTCTGCAACTCAGGCTTGAATAAATACATGTTGAGTTTGGGATGCATTTCTCCTTCTGGTTTAGAGTTAAAACAGATTGCAATGAAATAAGAAAACGCTACATTGAGGGGCTGTCAGACAGTGTAGGTATTCCCATCCCTCCTCACTCTGTAAATGGTCATGGAAGTTCAGAGAGGCTAGGAGATACCCCCAAGACTTTTTTTTTTTTTTGCTTTTTGGGTCACACCCGGTGATGCACAGAATTTACTCCTGGCTCATGCAGGAATTACTTCTGGACGTGCTCAGGGGACCATATGGAATGCTGGGAATCGAACCCAGGTCGGCCACGTGCAAGGCAAACACCCTACCTGCTGTGCTATTGCTCCAGCCCCAAGATACATATTTTAAGTAGGGCTGGAACTTGAACCTATATAGTCTGGCTCCAGAACCCATGTCCAACTCTATCATATCCTTGTTGATAGAGTATTTCAGTGTGGCTGAGAATAGGAAAATGTATCATTTTATGGATTTTCTATTGCTAACTTGATGTTTCTTTCCCCAGTATCTGCCCTGGGCCTGGTTCTATGCTCCGAACTGGTAACAGAGCTAGGAATAAAACACCATCATCCACCACAGGGAGGTTAGCTTTGCTGAGTGAGAATCTAGTTTTGTGTGCTAAGTAAAATGATGATTGAGATATTTACAGAGGAGCATGATGACTGATATGATTAATTTGTATTATGTATTAAGAACCTATATCATTTCACTCATTCAAGGATTTATTGAATTGAGATTCAGAGCATAGAAAACAAGTAAGGACATTTCTCTTGCAGAACATTTCCCACTTAAAGCTCATCTCTTTTGCTTCTTTTGTGAGGTTAAAGAAAAAAGTAT